ATAAAAAAACATGGTGTGGAGTCATGGCTATATATTCTACCCATGACCACAGAGAAAACCCATTAATGCTTAAAACATGATTGACTAAAAATAGAAATTCCAATGTTTCATGAATATGTTAATCTGTTCTGACCTTCTCAAAGATCTGAATGTGATTTTCCAAAAATTCATGGTATCTTTCTTTTATTTTAACTTGTATTTATTTGAAAATTTCATGAACATATACACTGTATCTTAATCATATCCCTCACTGCCCCCCCGCCCCCAGTCTCCCAGGACTCCCCCTATCACATCTCCTTATACCCTCACATCCTCGTTATTTATTTACTTATTTATTTTAACCCTCTGAATCCAATTAGTATTTTGATATGCTCATTGGCATGGGGCCATCCACTGGGGCAGGGAAACCCATAAGTGACCACACTCCTAATAAAAGGATCTCTTCCTTTCCCAGCAGCCAGTAACTACGAATAGCTTCCTCAGCTAGGGGAGGGACCTTGGGAGCCCCAAGCCAGTCCATGCTGAAATTTTTAACCTAATTGTTCTTGTGCAGATCTTGTGTAGATAATCACATCTGCTGTGAGTTGATGTTTGTAACAGCTGTCATGAGCAGAGGACAGCATTTGACAGTGCTGCAATTTACTCATTGACAATTTCATACATGCACATGATATATTTCAATTACATTCACTCTCCTGCCTGCTCTCAACCCCCTCCACCACACAAGTTCAACTTTGGCTCACTATCATATCTTCTTGTTTTTGTTTTGTGACCCACTGAGTTTGACTAGGGCTGTCCACAGGGCTAGGAGTCACTGGGCTAGCAGTCCCCTTCTCCATTACCCTTCAACTGCCAATAGCTTCCTGAGGAGGTCCTGGGTCCCATGAGCCTCTCTTCCATTCATGACTGAAAGCAAATGGGCCCAGTTTTCTGCAGGCTTTAGGCAGACAGCCTTAGCTACTCTGAGAACATGCCTGTCTGGCCATTGGGACCTTTGGTCTACTTGATAGTGTCCCATGGCTCATCACTCAGATGCTTATTCCCAGCATCTTGGATCAGCTTTTAAATGTACTAAGTGCCATTGTGGCAATCCAATAACAGTAACAACAGTAGAATTAGTATACTGGGGCACTAGCATTTAAGATAGATGAAGGGCATGGAAATATTTTATATTTTAGGCTCTAGTTGTATGAAAGAATGTGAGTTACTCCATCACAGTACTATAGTGTCTTATTAAAATGATATTGGAAGGAAGGAGTTTCAAATATTTCCTTTAAAGTGCTGGCATTCACTCATCTTTGTGTGTGTGTGTGTGTGTGTGTGTGTGTGTGTGTGTGTGTGAAGGTTTTCTTCTTTGTCTGTGATCCAGTTTCTTAATAAGAAGAAATTCTTACTTGTAAAAAATAAGAGAAGAGAAATACAGTCTATGTGAATTGACAGATATTAAAAGTGAATCTGATCAGATGAAAAGGCAAGAGTCACTAGAAAACACAGTACAGTTAAAATCGTATCACATTGCAGTGATTAGGGTGTTACAAATTAGACTTCTTCACTCACTGGAACATTTCTACTACTGTTTACAGAGCTACATATTCAGTAATTAACTCTTAATGGTAAAATGCATTATATGACATTCTAAGAAATTAGTAACGTGAACATAGGCTTGAGAAAAGCAATTAAGAGTTTGAGAAGAAAAGTGATATTTTATAACTTTTGTACCTTTGCAGAACTTGATCCACTACATAGCAGGATGCAGGGGAAGAGTTTAATGTCTCGGGGGGGAAAGGGAATGGACTTTTGGCACAAGACTTGAGACTCTGCTTCTCCTTTTTTCTTAAGTGTGTGAACTTACAGCAGTCTCCTATTGTTGGTGGCTATAAAATGAGGGGAATAAAATTTCCTATTCGCATAGCCTCTTAAGATTGAGGCACTGGTGCCTGAAACTGGATGATTCATCGATACACAGACATTTCGTTGATAAATTTTCTTTGTATATTGTCTCTTAACTGATGAGTTAATCTGAATAGCATCAGGCTTATTGTTAGCCTACTGATGAAAATCCTACTAGGAAAATAATCAAATAATTTAAATGGACTTGAATATCTCTCTTTTATATAATTATATAAAATAGAAAATGTTACTCCTATATTACATATAGGGTTAATTTTTAATTCTATATCTATTGTTGACTATGTGATTAAAATTTCAGTTTATCTATTAATGTTTTAGGTTATCATGTATGATCAATTATACTAGCTATGTGTAAACTGGATAAAATTTGGAAACATAATTAAGATATTTACATATTCTCAGTTGAAGTTTTGTGATCTAGAGAATTTGTTTTAGAACAATCTAACTCACATTTTCACATCTTTAGAAAAAGAATGTCATAGTTTGGATAATTCCACATTAGAGGAATATTTATTAAGGACCTAATAAAGCTTCTGAAACTATGTAACAATTTGGAGACAAACAGGAGCCATAGGTTTGGTTAAATATTATTTAAGTTTTCGAGGAAGTGGGAAGTGAGACAGGCACAGATCCCAGGGCAGATCGACCCTTTAACTTACCTATGCAGATGGTTCCGTCATTAGTGATAAACCTGTCCTGGTCACTGCTGGATCTAAACCCAGAGGCGCACATACAATAATAACTTCCCTCTGTGTTAGTGCAGTTAGCATTTTCACCACAGGACTGGGTTAGATTTCCACATTCATTATCATCTGTGGATATATCAATTTGAAGCATTTTATATAATTTATATAATACTTATATATGATTTTTTTTATTTTTCCATCAACATTTGAGAGTTTTACTGCTAAACAGTTTAAGAATCATCTTTCATGTATATTTTATAATCTAAAACCATCTTTGTATTTACAAAGCAAAAAGGATTATCATTGTCTTCAACCTTACTTTAGCATAATTTATCAGAAAAGGTAAATGTTCAGAAACCCTTTTTAAAAACTAGAAAGAGGGACAGAGAGATAATAGCTCAGTGGTTAAGAGCACTGGCTACTCTTGCAGAGGGCATGGTTCAATTCCCAGCACCCACATGGTGGATAGCAACTCTCTGTAACTCCAGGTCCAGGGGATCCTGTGCCCTCTTCTGGCTTCTTTGGGCATTGCATGAACTTGGTGCACATACACATTCATGCAAGCAAACACTCATAAAATATTTCTTAAAAATCCTGGAAAGCATCATTATATCACCCGTCAAATAAATAGATTAGAAAATAGTTTTCAGCAGTGATCACAAGGATACAGAGATGATTTTCTGAAGACCAAAAATCTGGTTAAAATGTGTCTCTTAAAATATTATGTTCAAGGGGCTTGAGAGATGGCTCAGCAGTTAAGAGCACTCTCAGGGAGAAGAACAGCTCTTTTCTGCTCTTAAGAATGGATTTAGAGCCTGCTGCCCATTTACCCTGTTCAACCCCAGACAAAGAACGACTAGATTATTGTGGGGTGAGGGAGAATAGATCTTCTTTAATGGAGTGACTCTAGATAAGCTGACCAGATTCCAGTGAATGAACTTGCACACAAGGGACACACTGAATAGAAATGTTTGATTGCATAGGATTTAACATATATGACAGAATACCTGAAATCTGATGGGGAGGACTAGGAGAAGAGAGGGAGGGGACTAAATTTGATTAAAATGTATTACACAAAATGCACAAAAACTCAATAAAAATATTTAAAATGAAAAAAAAAGAGAGTGGATTTAGGGGTTGGAGAGATAACCCAGAAGTTAGGAGCACGATGCTCTCTCAGAGGACCTTGGTTCAGTTTGAAGTATCCATAATGGCTAACAACCACCCATAACTCCAGTTCTGGGGAATCCAGTGCCCTCTTCTAACCTCCGTGGGTACTGCATGACATGAGTGCACTTACAAACATGCAGGCAAAACAGTCATACACATAAAATAAAAATAAATAAATCAAAAATAATTTTATAGTTGTGTTCAAATCCTTACCTTTTTACACAGAACAGGCCAGGCAGATACTTTGAAATTGTGGCTACATAGGCGTCAGCCTCACTAGCAGGCAATACTGGTGAGACAAAGGTGTACTCACCGCAGAGGAAGCACTTACGATGTTTGTGTTTAAGGAGAATTTTCAAATTTTATAGTTATGTTCAAATCCTTACCTTTTTACACAGAACAGTCCAGGCAGATACTTTGAAATTGTGGCTACATAGGCATCAGCCTCACTAGAAGGCAATACTGGTGAGACAAAGGTGTGCTCACCGCAGAGGAAGCACTTACGATGTTTGTGTTTAAGGAGAATTTTCAAAATATCAACATTTTGTATATAGTTAGCACCTGGACAGGTATTTCTCTCTTTCCTCACTACAATATATGGATGCTGGGGAAACTGAGGGTATTTTCTGAACAATGACAGTGGACTAAGAAATTGTGACTGGTAATACTTAGCATGTTGAAAAGTTAAAACTTTGCTGATCTGTATCTATTCATTTGTATATCTCTATATAAATAATTATTCAACTGTATATGGATATATATACACATACATACATACCAAGAAAGTATAAATATATATATATATATCTATGTACCCACATAATATAAATAAAGCAATATATGCATAAACAGAAATTAAATTACTGCATAAAAATTAACTCAGAGTGGTTCACAAACTGAACATAAGCATCTAAATTAGGTTAAGAAAAATATTTTACCCACACTGGGTTTGAGTCAATCATCTAGTTACTCAAATATTTATGGAGTTTTTGGATTCCCAACTGTGACTATCTATATTGGGAAATAAGTAAAGTTAATCAAAAAGTCAGGATCTGTGCCCTTCTGTCAGAGTTCACATGCTAAAGGCAACTTACCACACAAAGAGATAATTGAGTTTTTATTAAAATAAAAGTTTTCATTTATAACTCTAAATTTGAATCTGGTCCCAGCATATTGGGAGAAGTTTGTATTAAACTTTTAAAGAAATTGGCCTCTCAGATCAGTTATTGGTAATATAAAAACGATGAAGATTTCATCCCATGTGACATCAAGCAACAAAAATGATATGCAAAAATGCATAGAAAAAGGACTTCTTAGATCTGAGTTATTGGCCAAGTCCATGAAAATGATCCACCTTCTATCTCAGCTAACTGATTGGTTTCAAAAATAAATTAACATATCAATATGCTATTTAATTCCAACATACCTTTATTAGTTGAATACAACATATTACCAGGAATAAAGGTTGACATTGATTTTTGTATTGTTCTTTGTAGCATAGTTTTGGATACTTGACCTCTGAGCTTTCTTATCAAGAATTAGGAAATTAAAACATTTCCTATGTCTCAGTCTTCTGGACTGGGTATATAATATGGACATAGTCCCCAAAGTGGCCATGCAGATCTTGTCCAATAAAATACCACTTACCTGAAAGTAACCTCAAGATAGTGGATAGGCAAGAAATTATTTTTCAGAAGTAATATATAAAGATGAATTATTTAAATAGCTTTAAACTTTCCAGTATCTAACTTTATAATAATTAACCTTCAAGGAGAAATTTCCTTTAGATGAGTATGCTGTGGAAAAATAAAAACTTCTAATGCTCAAGTCAACTTATCAGCCTACTGCTGATGTATTAAATACATCTAAATATTGATTCCTTGAAAAATCCATTGTGATATAGTTAAACTGGAGATAAATTTTAGACTGCTTTTTGAAAAAATAACCTCATTTGGAAACCAGAGGTAGGTGGATCTTTGCAAGTTCAAGGCCAGCCTGGTGTATTTAATGAGTTCTTATCTTAAAAAATGAAGTAAAATAGCTGGGCGTGGTGGCACATGCCTATAATCCCAGCATATCAGATGTGAATTGAAAACTATTATCTGTGGGACTGGAGAGATGACTCAGCAGAGAACCCAGGCTAGGTTCCCAGCACCCACATGGGGGATAACAACCATTCTGAACTCCAGTTCCATGGGATCCAACACCTTCTTCTGACCTCAGTGTGTCTGCGCATGGTGCACTCAAAGATGTGCAGTCAAAACACTCATATGCATAAGATAAAAATAAGTTAATAATTGTGATAGCTGTAAGAACCAGGGGAGGAGGTGCATGGCCATTTGGAAATAGCGTCTTACAGACTCCTGGGACTTTGCACATATGAACTTATAGCAATGGTGTCAGCATGCACAAGATCCATGCAAACACAATCAGACAAAAACCCAGCATAGAACTGTGGAAATGAGCAAGAGGCCCCAACCTCAGCCAAAGAACTATTGGGAAGCTGATTACTGCTGGGTGAGGGAGGGCTGATCTTCTTTAAGGGAAAGACTCTAGATAGGCTGACTAGATGCCAATAGATGAACTTGCACTGAGGGATGTCTGAGTACACTAACCTGACCTGATAGGCCTTAATCAAAATGACAGACTGCATGAAATCCAGTGGGGGATGGGTATGGTAGGATGCCGATGGTGAAGATAAAGATATTTTGTATGAGATACACAAAAATTCAACTAAAAAAATTTAAAAAGAAAAGAGAAAAAAATTGTTATCTGGTGGATGAGTAAATGCACATTTGTTTTTTACTTTTTTTCTATTTGAAAATTTGGTAGTGAAGTAACATTATGTCTTAGAGATTAACTGGATATTTCAGTCAGCTAGAGAGGGGTGAATAGAAACTGCCTTTCCAACATGGAGGTATGAAGGCAATCATTGAACCAGTTACAAGGGTGAGCAAAGTAGAGGAAGACCCTTCTCACACATTAACGTGGTGAATTCTTATACATGAGAAGATGAGGGGTGTTAATTAATTGAGGCTATTCAGGAAGACAGGGACAGTGCTATTTAAAGAGTAACCGTAAAGCTATAAACTTTTTGCTCCTGAGGGAGAGCCCAAGACTACCTTGTTCCCTTTCAGAATATATCATATTTAGGAACAAAGTATTCTCTGGCTCCAGAGCCAGAGGGAAGCCTTCTCGTTTGCTTTGCATTCATCACTGGAAGGACCTGCTTGCTCTCCTAACTCTTGCTCCTGTCTCAGTTGAAGTGGATGTAACTGTGGTGTGCTGGTTTTAGCTGTCAACTTGATAAACCTGGATAGAGGGAGCCTCAATTGGGGAACATCCTTCATTGGACTGGCCTGTGGCCATGTCTGTGGGGCAATTTCTTCATTATTGAGTGATGTGAGAGGGTCCAGCCCTCTGTGGGTGGTGTTGCTCCTGGGTAGGTGGGCCTGTGTTGTATAAGAAAGCAGGTTGAGCAGGGGCCAGAGGAGCAAGTCAATAAGCAGGATTCCTCCATGGCCTGTACTTCAGCTCCTGACTCCAGGTTCCTGCCCTGAGTTCCTTCCTTGGGCTCCCTCAGTGATGAACTGTGACCTGGGAGATGTAAGACAAATAAATCCTTTCCTCCCCAAGTTGGTGTTGGTCAGTGTTTAGTCACAGCCATGGAAGGCAAACTGGAACATGTGTGTATAATGCATCTTGATGTTTGTCTTTCTGTGTCCTTTTGCTGCTGTTGTTCGGTTGGGCTCGACTCTTTTCAAGCAACCAAGCAAGGAGTCCAGAAGACTGAGTTAAAGATATGAGGGTAGAGAGTAAAAGGATCTCTTCATCTATTTTTTGTTTTCAGCACTAACTCGAAGAATTTTGGAGGTTCTACCTGGCTCAGCTCAGCTTGTCAGAAAGCCATATGGGCATTGAAAATAATAAACAGATGTCTGTGTCTGAAAGTTTCT